GTTCCATTGTGTTCGGCATGAAAAACATTGGAGCCATCCTAGTGGGCGTGAAGTGGCATCTTCTTGTGGTTTGGATGCGCATTTCCCCGATGACCAATGACACGGGGCGTCCTTTTGGGTGCTTGTTGGCCACCTGTGTATCTCCTTTGGGGAAATGTCCACCAAAGTGTTCAGCCCATCTTCAATCGGGTTGTACGTCTTTTTGTTGTTGAGCGACAGGAGTTACACATTCTGGACACTAGGCCCTCCTCAGAGTTAGGATTTGCAAATATCTTCCCCGTGCTGTGGATTGTCTTTTCACTCTCTTGATAGCGTCCTTTGATACATAAATCTTTTTTATTTCTTTTTTTCTTTTTCTTTTTTTTTTAATTTTTTTTCAACGTTTTTTTTTTATTTATTTTTGGGACAGAGAGAGACAGAGCATGAACGGGGGAGGGGCAGAGAGAGAGGGAGACACAGAATCGGAAACAGGCTCCAGGCTCCGAGCCATCAGCCCAGAGCCTGACATGGGGCTCAAACTCACGGACCGCGAGATCATGACCTGGCTGAAGCCGGACGCTTAACCGACTGCGCCACCCAGGCGCCCCACATAAATCTTTTTTTAATTTTGATGAAGTCCAGGGTGTCCACACATTTTTGTTGTTGTTGCCTGTGCTTTTGGTTTCATGTCGAAGAAACGGTCGCCAAATCTAAGGTCATGCAGATCTGCCCCTGTGTTTTATTTTTAGAATGTTATGATGTTAGCTCTTACATTTAGGCCTTTGATCCACTTTGAGCTGATTTTTGTATACGGTGTGAGATAGGGCTCGACTGTTGGTCTCTATCTATCTATCATCTACCCATCTTAATGTAGAACAAAGGGAACACAAGATAATTGAAAAATTCTACAGTTCACCGATGGTTCTGTATTCCCTGTTGTAATTCCAATTTCCCTCCCATGCAAGCAAACCCTTTACCCAGTAAGTTGGGTGTAGTGAAAGGGTGAGTGCAAATTAATAAAGACAGACCTCACTAAAATGGAGTAGGGGGCCGCGAAGGGGAGCTCTCAGCCCCACCACTCATCTTCCATTGCGAAGCCAACAGGAAGAGACACGCCCTGCCCTTAGCTACTACGTTACAGGAGAAGGAAGGACGTCTCTCCCTCCCAGGGCAACAGCCCAGCCAATAAGAAGCCACGACACCTCCAGCTCCCAGTTTACGCCAATGAGCTTTGTGCTTACAACACCCTCAGCCTCACTTTCATCTACAAAAGAGCCTCCGCTCCTGCATTATCCAGACTTGCCCATGGCTTTGCCCTAGCTAACTTGTCTGAGACTGTAATTCTCTGCTATTCCCAAGTACGCCCGTCTTCTTTTGCTGGTAAAACAACTAGCAGTTTTATTTTTCAGGTTCACAGGTGAATAATAAGAAGTCATTGTTCATTGAATGGATAAATGCACGAAGTGCTTTAACCGGAGTGAGAGAACGTGTTTCTACGTCCTCACAACGTCCCCATAGGGACCGCGATCACTTTTCTGGGTATTTCTGACGCGTCATCTGTACAGGAGGGTAATGACGCCTGCTGTGGCCAATGTCGCTGGTGCTGCCCCCAGATGCCCTGTGACCCCGTCACCCACCACACCTGCGTGCTTCCCCTGGCTTCTGTGAGACAGCTTCTAGCAGCACCCCCCCCCCCATCCCTGTCCTGGCTCTCCTGGGAGCATAGCCGTCACCACACATCTGACTGAGTCCGCAACGCCTGGGGCTTTATGCCCACCCACGCTGCGCCAGCCCCGGGCTGACAGGGACCAGCCCGGCTCCTTCCTATTGGCCTAGTTTACCTTCTTCTGCTTCCCCTCTCTGCCTTCCCCCCTCCCGGATGCTCTTCCTGAGTGCACCACTCTGTGCGCGCGTCCTTATCTCAGGCTCGGCTCCCGGGAAGCCTGCTTCTCTCCCGGGGCCGTTAAGGGGATGAAATGTGACAGCTCACGGAGAGCTCCATGCCTGCTGGGTGTCCTGTACGGGTGACAGGCGTCCCCCACCCTCGCGGCCTGTGCCGCAGTCGTCTGACTGGCCTCCTGAACACCCACTGCCCCTGCTGTGCCCACCCCACGCCCAAGTGCCAAGTCCTGCCCACGACTCGACTTCCTGGACTCCCGTTTCACCCAGAGCTTCCCCTTCGGGGGCTCGAATAACTTCACCTTCTTTCCAAAGCCTCCCGCGTCTCTCAGCACCGGCTGGCACCCCTCCTTTCTGAACCCCGACACCACCTGTCACCTGTACCAAACCGTGTAGCTCATGATGGTGGATTGTCTTCGTTTTTTAAATTTATTTCAGGCGTGTGAATCTGGTCTGTCCCACGTGGTGTCACCCATCGAGTCAAGATAACGAACTCTTTCGCTGAGTCAAGGCCACATTCTAAGACCCCTGAAAGGGGGAGATGATCTTTCAGAACATGACATGTCAGCATGTACCTAGTCGGCCCCTGTTAGTTTTGCTGAGAGGTACATAAAATAACGGGGCGTCTTTACTATGGGTGAGACCTCAGTCTTGATTACCTGTGACCTAGGATGTGTGCGTGTGTGTGTGTGTGTGTTATTGTGTAGTACTTTCTCCCAAATGGGCCCACGGTGAGCATCAAACGCGCTGTGATGTGAATTATGTGAAATCCTCAAGCTGCACCAAGATGCCCGGATGCCCGGAGCATCACCAGATTTCTGTTTGGGTTTCACGTGCAAATAAGAGTCCTTTCCTTAAGGCAAAAGCAGTCCCTTTTTTTCCAAACAGAAAAGGGAGACCTCCGTGAACCAAGCATTGAGCACCGATCGTATACAAACGCCAGGTCTGAAGCCAGCGATACAAATCCCCCGCCTGGCCCCGACTTCCTCAGCACCAACAGCCTGGTGGGGCTGCCCTGGATGGGGGGGAGGGGAATAAGGGGGGGTTCTCTGCTGTTGAGAGCGGAATTAGCCCCAGCCTGTCTCCTCCACCTTCCACCCCCGGACCGTGCTAGGAGCAGTCAAGGTTGTGCACGGAGTACTGGAAGAATCGCTGATGATAAGTAGGAGGGCAGATAAGAACATGCCCCTCCAATGATCGCCCTCAGGAGCCCCACGCGCCCTGTCCCATCTCGGGGCAGGGCACTTCTTCTCGTATACCTGTTGGCACCTGACTGCATCCAGTAGGCGTGAGAGAAAGACTCAGGTACCTGGAATGTAAATATTTGGGTTCAGGGTGACTGAGTTCATACCAACCTCTGTTATACCTCGTGTGCGTTCTTGTAAAACAGGAAGAAAAACAAAACACTTCGGTAAAAATAGTTCTGTCTTATGTGGAAACACCTCCCCACCAGCATCCCCAACAGTACGTGGCCTTGTATCAGAGGCGGAAGAGGGTTTCCAACGAATTCTCTTGCTCCCCCCTCCCCCCCCCCCACCCTTGGCCATGTTGCCAAGGGCACTTTTTCCGTGGCAGGCTTTCTGGGCAGGCTTCCCGGGAGCCCCCCCACCCCCGGCCATGTTGCCGCCTCAGCCGGGCGTGGAGACTAGATGAGGAAGAAACCTGAATTTAGAGTCAAGAACAAAGAAACGCAATCCAACAAACAGAAACTGAGGGCCAGGGAAGCAGAGATTTTGTCTCTTTGTCAGGCATCTCGCTGGTGGAGCCCACAGAACCACGGCCATGCCACACATCCGGCCACGTGTGGGGGTCCTGGGAGAGGTGGGACCTCACAGCATTTCAGCCTTCACTTCTCCTCCAGGGGGCTCCTGTGAGTGTCCTTGCCACGCAACTCCCGTGTCCTCGTCAGCAGCAATACAGGGACGGCCAGCACGTCCCCCCGACTTCAACCCTGGTCTCTTCTGATCACGTTATAAAGCCCCCCATACGAACCCTCGTTCCCCTGCAAATAACACGCACCCTGACTAACCCCGGCCCCGCTTGGGGACAGTGGCCCCACGGTGCCATCAGACCCCCTTGCTCTCCCCATCTCCCTCCTCTATCACCCTTACCGCTG